AGCTATAGAATGATTAGTAATTATCACTGATGGACATTTTGAATAAATATGTTCAGTAAATTTGTGTAATATCTAACTTCTCTTCTGGAAATAAAATACTGGTTGAAGTATTTTTTTAGAGTAGAAATATTCCCCTTATCAACAGAATGTTGATAGCTGCATCAAAATAGTGTTCATTTAACCCTACATAATTATGCAATTGTCGTATATATGCTGCATATTTTTGGTTGTAAACACTGTAAAAAAAAGTTTTGAAGGATAAAGTTAGCATTTTATAGTATAATATTAAATTAGATCTGAAAAGAAAGAAAGGAATAGTTCCATTACCTAGAGGAATTTTAATGTGTAGATTCTAAGTATTACAGTTTCGTTATATTGTCCCCAATAGAAGTTTAATGCAAAATTAAAATATTCAGTAAATTTTGTATGTGACATTTAAATTATATGTGATATATGCAATAAGTATATCTTTATAAACATTTTGAGGCTGGGCACGATAACTCACGTATATAATCCTACCACTTTGTCTGAAGCAAGAGGATCGCTTCAGCCCAGGAGTTCGAAACCAGCCTGGGCACCATAGCGAGACCTTGTCTCTCTACAAAAAAATAATCAAAAAATTAGCCGGGCATGGTGGTATGCACCTGTAGTCCCAGCTACTCAGGAGGCTGAGGCAGAAGGATTGCCTGGGCCCATGAGGTCAAGACTGCTGTGAGCTGTGATTGTATCACTACCATAGCCTGGACGACTGAGCGAGACCCTGGCTCTAAATAAATAAATAATTAAATAAATAAATAACATTTTAAAAATCACTGAATTAGACTATATGGTTTTTCATTTAGAGCAGAAAGAATTTTTGAGGGTAATGTAATTCAATCTTGCATTTTATGGATGATGAGACCAAGGTCTAGAGAGATTTTCTGTATTGTCATGTAGCAATTTGTGCCATGGTTGGCACCAAAATTCAGAACCATAGCCCATTCTTTCACTTGTCTTGATTGCGATTGTTATATTTGCAAGTAACAGAAGCCCTCTTAAAGGAAGGGAGGAGTCTTTCCCAGTCCAAGTGAGGAGTTCAGCTTGCCCTGGAGTAGTCTGTGCACAGTGCTCTCTCTCTCTCGCCCATTCTCATCTGTTTTCTCTGACAGCTCCTTGTTTTGTCAACAGTTTCCTTCAGAGGACTCCTAGCTTCTACACCCTGAGAAAGATGGTTACAGGTTTCAGCGTGGCAAAGAATACCAAGCTTATCACATATAGATAAGTGAGAGAGGAGTCAGGGATAGTTGACATTTAATATCAGGAAATCTTGGCCTAGGATTTGACCCTACTTTTCAGGAATTAGGCTCCCAGTGTAATCAGCAACCTAGGTCTCAACTCTCTAAAACTGTGAGAGGTACTGGGCCAGGCTGAACACTTTCGCCTGTGCCAAGGCACAATCTGCCACCCCCGAACCTGACAGAACAATGACAGCAGGCTTCACCCCTTTAGCATTGGCTTGTCTTTAAATGCATATTTTAAAACACAATTCTACCAGAGTAGTAGAGCTTTTGAACGTTTTAGCCAATCCAACCTCAGCATACTCAAAATACAGTGTTAACAACACAGAGGGACATTTTCATTTTCTTTAACATAGGCAGTATTCCCTACTGCTAGCTTCCCTGGAAATCCGGTAATAGACCATTTCTGAAATTAAGAGTTTCTGAAATGAGTCACTGAATGAAGAGTACTGTGATGGCCAGCACCAGGCAGCACTGGAAACCAAATTTGACAGCATTGAAGAGGTGTCTCCCTGAGGTGCAAGCCCTGCAGGCATAGGAGGGAAGAGGAAGCCAACTCACACGTTGGGCTATCCCCTCAGGGCTGTGGGGAAGTCATCAACTCTAGCCAAAAATAATATGTACTCATACACTATTGCTTCATTATAGGCCATCAGCTATAGAAAAAGATCATGTTATATATTGATTATAAAAACAAAAAGATTATGTTGCATATTGATTATAAAATCAAAAAGATTATGTTACATATTGATTACCAAACACTCAGAAGAGATAAAATTGGCAACTCCAGCATATTATTTTTGACTAAGATAAATCAAAAGTGTTATATTTCATGAATATTAAACAGTCAAACAGTTATTGTACTGACCTTTTTAGAAGGTTTTTTTTTAGGATATTTTGCTTATCTCACTCAACAGGGTCAGAAATTTCAAAAAGAAATAAAAAAGCACTTGACTTTCTCGTGCTCATGGAGGACATCACTCATAATATTACTTTTGTGTGACCTCACAGTCCTCTTGGCAATCATTTGGCCAGTTAATGCCATTATTATAGCACTCCAACATGAAAGCTTTTGGTCATTCCACTCACAAACTGAACTTCCTGAAAGGAGAGACCTTGTCCTATTTATCGCCATGTCCCAATGCCAGCGTTTTGCATTCACAAAAGTGCCACCCAATATATAGTTGTGAATAAATATGTGGTCCAGGAATCTTAAAAGTAATTTTTCACAAGCAGATAATTCCCAAAAGTAAATATGTTAGTGACCAAAAGTATGCATGATATGTTTAACTTGACTTGTAATTAAAGTATTCATTTTGGTCAATAATTTTTGGCTAGATTGGTAACTATTTCTTAAAAAGCAATAATAGCCAATGTTTTTAGAGTAAAGAGAAGTAATTCCTTGCATATATAGCTGGTATGCATATAATTTGTTTATTAGCTTCTCTGGAAGGAAAATAGCTTTCAAAAACCATTTTAAAAAGTAATACATTGGCCTGGAAATTCCACCTGTGGAAATATATGTTATTTGTGCAGGGATTTAACTATATGGAAGTTGCACTATAATATTTAAAAAAATAAAACTAATTTGCATGACCAACAGTAAGAAATTGGTTAAATAGCATTTGATGGCTTCTCTGTATAATATTATTTATAGCGTGTACCTGTATATATAACAGTATACAGCTTTAAAATTATATAAAAATGTGCTTATCAACGTGGACATATGTTTTATTTTGTACTGTTAAACAAATGAAAAGGAATAACAAAATAGCATTTATGATTTGGTGTTACTTGGTAAGACTATGTGTGTACGTTCATAAGTCCCAGTAGAAGGGTCTAGATATGCCAACATATTAACGTTAACTATTTCCTGACAAGATAATGGGACTTCTTTCTTTGCTGTCTATAGACCTTCTTTTTAAAAATATATTCTTCCATAGTAAGCAGAACATTCAAAATCATTTCATTGATAGTCATTTTTAAGAATACTTATTTTAGTATGTAGACACTAGAAACCCTCCCTAAGGATTTCAATGGTGAGAACTTGAAGGGCAAGTCTTAAATAGTGCCTTCATATCCACACATTCTTAGTTCTTTTTCCCTTTTCTCATTCCTTCACTCTCCTTAAATTATTCTCTCCTCTTCATTAAAACACTGAAGAGAAAATAATTACAGAAATCTGATCTAAGAAGTTGTTATAAAAGGGGAATGTGAGTCAATTATGGTTTGTGTAGGTTCTCAATGTTAGTTTTTTGTTGTAAAACTAATACATGCTATTTATTACGTTAAAAATTGGAAAGTCTAGAGCATTATTAAAGAAGAAAAAATGCTATTAACATGTCATGCTTAAATTCTATATCAGTTTTCATTTTGTGCACATTGTTTTCATTATGCAGTTAATATCATTGTATGCATGCAATTATATATATATATATATTTTTTTTTTTCTAATAGAAGTGCATTCTAAGTATTTTCTCAGGACTTCCTCTTCTTTAAGAATAGCTGAAGTGCCAGCCTGCATCTTTCTTATTCATCCCCTCATTTAGTACTTCTCTTGAATGCCTACTGTAGGCCTGCTAAGTGCAAGGTGTACAATGTCAGAGAAGATACACACAATCCCTGCCCTCTTGGAGTGGTCCATCCAGGGACACAAGCGGCTGCATTGCTTAGTCAACTGCAAAACTCAATCAACAACACAAGCAATCACTGGGAAGTGAAGTATAAGTGCTAACTAGAGTCATACGATGAGTAGTAACAGCCTGAATCAAATGTGACCTTTGGTCTTATATCCCTTTATTCCCTAATGTCCTCTAATTACTTTTCCTGTCTTGTGGGAAATGAATAGAATTAGCAAATCACAATTATTGTTTTTTATACCAGGTAAGTCACACTGAGGATGACTAAGATCAATAAAGTCTTTCCAAATAAATAAATAAATTTGAAAAGTTAAGACAAAAAGAGGTTTGATAAGTTGTCAAGTTCATCTACCTCATCATACTTACCTACTGTGTACTTACTAAAGACCAGAGAGAAAACTTTATATAAGACATGTCTCAGATGACAGTGGCTATTTTCAAAACATTTATTGACAGGGACAAAGAAAGGACTGATCATTCAAAAAAAGATCCCTTATTGGATTATGTGTAAATTCCTCAGTTGCCATATCTGGGAGGTCTGGCTGGGGTATTCCAGGCAGAGACCAAGATGACGAGTATGCTGGGGGACTTTGGGAAGTTCAGGACAGTGGCTATTTTCCAAACACTGTGAAAATGTTTCAACATTTTAATGACTGACATGAATGACAGGTTCAGCCCTGGAGGAAATAGATTACAATACTGCAGGTGACTTCTGCTTTAAAGAAAGGCATAATAGTTATCAGAACAACTCTCTTTTTAAAAGCAGAACCTTGTATCTGGTAGATCCTCTGGCAATCTCAAAAAGTAGAGAATTCAAATCTACTTAGCTAAAAAGTAGAGAGTAATGATTCTGTGACCAGACACATGAAATTAAATATGCTGCTTAAATATTGTAGAGATAGAAGAGGAAGAAGCCAGTAGAAAAACTCTGGGTTTGATAATTAGGAACTCTGAAATGTCTGCTTGGTTTAAGAGAAAAATACCCAGGAAAAGTAGTCATCCTATCATAGCTACCTGTATAAAATGGCAGAACATGAATTTTTAATGTGTATGATAATATTAATAGTTTGTTCTCCTCTTTTAGCTTTCCTTATTGGAAAAGGCTGAATTTGGAGGTGTTCTTCTATACATTGATCCTTGTGATTTACCAAAGACTGTGAATCTTAGCCATGATACCTTCATGGTGTCACTGAATCCAGGAGGAGACCCTTCTACACCTGGTTACCCAAGTGTTGGTAAGTTTGTTGTCCATCTTTTTATTCTTGAAATCATTATAAGGTCACAATTAATAAGTACATGCAATCTAAATTAACCTAGGGAAGTAAAGTCAAATAATTTTTACCATTCTACATTTTAAAAAGCAGATTTTTTATCTTCCCAAAATTATAGACTACCAATTTGTTAAAATAAAAATGTCTATAAATCTGTAATAGATTTTCATCTCAACAAATCGCAGTATAATGAACAGATGACAAACTTATTTTACGTGTTACTGGTGAATGTAAGAAAATGAACACCACAAGAGGCAGGCACTCCATGTAGTTCATGAGCATGTACAAATGCCCAGGGTCTTGAAATGTCTGCTCTTAGGGGCAACTGTAATAACTTTAAGTTCTGAGTCTAAGGGTATGCACGGTCAAGTTAGGTGAGTTAGAGAAGATGCTAGAGAAGAATGAATTGAATATGACTCTCTGGCTCTCTAGGAGAAGGGACCTCATTGGTTTTGCCAGTCACTGGCAGCAGGGAGATGGCCAACTTTGTATCAAATATCCATCCGTTTCCTAATAAGCTGTATTCATGATAGTAGGGATCATATGGCAGACAGAAGACAACTATGATTTGACAGGCTCTCGTGGCATCATTGAATTTCTGTCCAATGTGTCATTGACAAATATTCTGTCCTTTCAATTTGGCTGAGGAAAAGGCTCTTTGAAAGTTCTTCCAGGGTGATATTAACCCATTAACCATAATACTTCAGTCAGTAATTAACCTAACTAAAAAAAACTTTAATTATTCATATGTTCTGTCAATTATTTTCCTATTTGTCCCAAATTATCACAAAAGAATGTACTAGTTATCTTACTCAAGTTCAGAAGTGCATTCTTTCTGTATATTTTTACCACTTAATTAGTAACTCTATTTAAGAAGGAAGCAAACTGAGTCAAACGTGAATCACAGCTTAAGAATTTTGTGGAGTCCCTTGATTGCTGCCTTGTCTTCTATATACTTACAAAAGGATTCAGTCGATAATCCATGTAAGAATTTTCTCTGGAATCTCACTGGTCTTCACTTTGTACAGTCCCTTATCTCATCTTTCTAATCTTGAAATTAGAATTAGCAGATGTCCACCTGCAATTTCCAGACATCACTGCAAACACCAGTCCAGCTTTCTCATGCTCTCACTGCCCTGGGTTGCAATTTCTCAGCTTCAAGAGGCAGCGTTTGGTAGCTAACTCTACTGACCAGTCAGTGCTGCCCAAAGCAGGTACTTTATGAGCCTTCAAGTTGGCAAGTTACTCAGAGGGCCACATTTTCCCTGAACACTTTCTTTACTTAGGTCCTTTCATAAATGCAGAATGCAGTCATGTCTAGCAAATGTTGGCCATAGTCTCAAGCAATTTCAAAATCGTTTTTTTTCTTGTGTTTGGTATCTTGAAATAATTTATACTTACAAATTAGTTGCAAGTATAGTATATAACAGAATTTGTATACCTTTATTTCAACATCCTCTAATATTAACGTCTTACAAGATCTGGAGCGTTGGCTCACGCTTGTAATCCTAGCATTTTGGGAGGTTGAGGTGGGAGAATCACTTGAGTCTAGTGGTTCAAGATCAACCTAGACAGCACAGCAAGACCTTATCTCTATAAAAAAAAAAAGTTAACTGATCATGGGGACATGTGCCTGGAATCCTAGCTACTAGGGAGGCTGAGGCAGAAGGATCACCTGAGCCCAGGCGGTTGAGGTTGTGGTGAGCCATGATCATGCCACTGTACTCCAGTCTGGGTGACAGAGTGGGACCCTGACTGAAAAAAAAAAAACGAAAACAAAACTTCTTATATAACTTAAGTACAATGATCAAACCCTAAAATTAACATTGATTCATGTTATATAGACTATTAGTTAATTATAGACTTTATTTAAATTATCTTCAATACTCCCACTATTTTCTTTTCTGGGCCAGAATCCAATCCAGAATTTCATACTGCATTTAGTTGCCATGTGTGCTTAATCCTCTCCAGTCTGGAACAGTTCCTCAGTCTATCTTTTATTACCTTAATGCTTTTGAAGAATACTATCATGTTATTTTTCAGACTGTCTCTCAATTGGACCTGTCCAATACTTTCTAATCATTGGATTATAGTTATACATTTTGGCAGAAATATAGCAGAAGAGATGTGCTTCTTTTTAGCTCATATCAGGAGGTATATATGTTGATAAATCTCATTTCTCATGATGCTAACTAACCTCAATCTCTAGGTTATGGTGGTGTTTGCCAGTTTTCTCCACTGCAGCATTATTTTTTTCTTTGTAATTAATGAGTATATGTGAGAAGATATGATAAGACTGTAAATATTCTATTTCTTGTCATACTTCTCTCCACAATTTAGCAACCAACCATCAAGATTCTTACTTGCTACAATTATTACTGTAGTGTTTAGCAAATGATGATTTTCTATTTCATCATTCCTTCAAGATACTTTTTTAAAGAAACATTCTTGTGCATAGTTGCACTTGTCTACATTTCCAAACAAAGGTGAAATGGCTATATAACTGTATTGGACAAAAAGAAAAAATATATATAATTCAGACCTTAGCCTGACTTAGACAAAATATCCATGGAATAAATGACATTATCTCTCATGTTGCCCAATGTCACCTATATAGGTACCACATGAAAAATTTCTTTACAAATATTTCATTTTTTTACATATGAACTTTTATACAGTACACAAGAAAAGAACAGATACAGCCCATTTTACCTCTCTTTTTGCCCTGGTTGCTAAGAAGCTCTGATTAACTGCAATTATTTGTATTTCTAGCTTCTGACTCATTTATTAGAAATTTTCTCAATATTTCTTATTGTTTCATTTTTATTTTTACAACATTAATCCATTCACTAGGGCAGATCCCTTAATCCAATCACTCTTCAAAGGTCCCATCACTCAACACTGTTACATTGGGGATCAAGTTTCCAACATATTCAAGTCGTGACCTTCTACTTCCAGCCTTCCAAATGAATATCCTTCTTGCCTGCAAAATACATCCGTTCCATCCCAATAGCCTCAAAGGCTTAACTCCAGCGCTAATTCCAAAATCCAAACTCCAGAGTCTCATCTAAATCAGATATGAGTGAGACTCAAGGCAGGATTTATCCTGAGGCAAATTGATTCCAGCTGTGAGTCTGTGAAATTAAAAGTTATCACCTTCCAAAGCACAATGGTGGAATGGGCCTAGGAAAAACATTTTCATTCCACGAGGGAAAAAGTGGCAAGAAAGCAGTAACTGGTCCCAAGTAAGTCCAAAGCCAGTCAGGAAAGACAACAGTACGACTTAAAGCTGGAGAATATTCTATTTCTTGTCCTACTTCTCTCCACAATTTAGCAACCAACCATCAAGTTTCTTATTTGTTACAATTAGTACTGTAGTGTTTACTTTATAGTCTGCAGCCTTGACACACTGGACTGGATATTGGGTCCCGCCTAACAGGCCGCCCTGCCCCCATGGCTTTGCTAGACTCAGTTGACCCAGCAGCTCTCATGGGTTGGAGTCTCATACCCACCGATTTCCCAAGCTGACGGTTTACGCTGATAGCTGTATAGTTCTGGGATGATGGGGGTGGCCTCACTTCCATAGTGCCACTAGATATTAGCCTACTCGTGGCTTTCTTCAGTGGCTCTACCCCTGCAACAATATTCTTCCTGGGCCCCCAGGCTGCTGGCAACATCCTTTGAAATCTAAGTGGAGGCCGCCATAACCCTACGACTATTGTATTCTGCACATATACAGAGTCAGCACCACATGGATGCTACCAAGGTGTGTGGCTTGTGCCACTGGGAGCAGCAGCCCGATCTTCACCCAGGCTTGAAGCACAGCTGGGATGGTCAGTGGGCACTCCATGGAATTCAGGAGACAGTGTCTCTAGGCAGCATAGGACAGGGAGCTTTGGAGTGCATCTCAGGTCGTCTGCCCAAACCACTTGGCCCTCAAAACCCTAGCATTCTGGGCCTGTGATGGAAGAGATCTGAAGTGCCTTCGTTCTCTCATTGTCTTGAGAAATAGCACCTGGCTTTCTTTTATCCATATTGATCTCTTCAAATGGCTTCATCCTTGCTTTCCTCTCCAAAATACACCTTATTTTGTTCATGACTACACTGTGAATTAGTCAAATCTTTCCATTCTACTTCTCTTTTAATTAAAAATTCCATTTTAAAATACTTTTCTCTCATTTTACGGAAAACAGCCCAAGGAAGCCACGCAGCATCTTGAATGCTTTTCTGCTTAGATATTTCTTCTGCCAGATAGCAGTTTAATGTTTTAAAATTCCACCTTCCATAAAGTCCTAGAGCATAGATACAATTCAGCCAAGTTCTTTGCCACTATATAATAAGGATGGATTTTACTCCAGTTTCCAATACACTGCTCCTCACGTCTGTCCGAGGCCTCGTCAGAATGGCCATGACCATCCTTATTTCTACCGACATTTTGGTCAAAATCACTTAAGTGATTTCTGGGAAGATTCGGTCTTTTCTTGCAGCTGTTGTCTTCTTTTGAGTCCTCATCAGAATTGCTATTAACACTCCTAGATTTGTTCACAGCAATCTAGGCTTTTTCTAGCCTATTTCATTAAATTCTTCCAGCCTCTACCCATTACCCAATCCAAAAGCAGCTTCCTCATTTCCCGGTATTTGTTATAGCAAAAACTCCACTCCTGGTATCACTTTTCTCTTAGTCCATTCTGTGTTGCTATAACACAGTACCTGAAACTGGGTAATTTATAAAGAACTGAGATTTATTTCTTACAGTGCTATAAGTTCAAGGTCAAGGGGCTCACATCTGGTGAGGGCCTTCTTTTTTTTCTTTTTCTCATTCCATGGTGGAAGGCAGAAAGGCAGGAAAGCATGCATGAGAGGAAGAGATGGCAGAGCTCACTTTTATGGCATGCCTAACCTTAAGATTATAATCCCCCTCCCATGACAACAGAACCCTCATGCCAATCACCTTTTAAAGGGCT